CTCCCCGCGCCATGGCGGCCGCTCCTCGCACAGCCCTGCCCTGAGCCCGTTCTGCGCTCGCTCCCCGCGCCCCTCGGGGCACTCTCAGGGCCGCTCCCGCTCCTCTTCTCGCACCCCCGGAACGGCAGCTTTAGTCATGATTCGTAAGGGTGGACGGGCACGGGAGGAACACGGCACAGGAGCCAGGCTGCTGCTGCACAACCACCTGCACACAGCAGCTGTGCTCCCCACCTGTACGCATTCCACTGGGGCTTGCTTTGGCTTTTCTATTCAGCTCCACCTGTTCGGCAAATTGCTGCTGTAATGCCTTCCTCTGGCTCCAAGTTACAGAGTGCTGAGAGCAGAATGTTCTCTGAATCTGCTCATTCAACACATGGAGCCTTCACAGGACACATCCTTTATCAATGATTAAGCTACTCAAAAATCACTCCAGGATCCAAGCTGCTACAAGCACAGAAAGTTAACTTCCATTTACGTGTTTTGTTCCTTCTGTCACTTTTTGGGACATCGGCACTCAGAAACATCCACACTTCACAGTTACTGAGGGATCCCAAGGCACAGCACATCCTCAAGGCCATACAGAGATTCCTGACCTGGGCACCTGAAGAGCCTTTAGACAACTGAGGTGTGAGGTTTGGCTCTTTAATTACCCTGACCCTCCACATTTKTCCTCATGGGTTGATAACATAGATTTTAGGTGGACTCCAGACAGGTACAATATTTACTGAGATTAAGGAATGAATAGATGAGGAAAATACCCCATACTTAGGAATAATTCTACAGAATTACAGGATTCAGTCAAGTAATTTGGTTACAACTTTTAGGACTCATGAGACTTCTGGTGGCAAAAGGATAATAAAGGATAACAAAGGAAAAGCTGCTATACCACAGTARGTCTATTTCTCCACCTACAAAACGGTAATTTTAATGCTTACTTTGACCAGGAACACCAACAGGTAAAAAACCACAACAGATTCCTGTGCTAAAGTACAAAACACCACAATTACGGGCAAGCTGGAATTCAGATTTTGTTCTGCAGCTACAGAGCTGCAATAAATGAAATSACATGGAGGAGAAATACCTAAGGGTTTGGTAGATGAAGCTGCACTGTGATTTATGCTCTGGGAAAAAACTAATTAATATATTTTTAGTTGATAAATTTAGCATCTAGGGAGTGCACAAACCCAGAAATTACACACCAACGGAAAGGGAATATGCCAAACAAGGAACTGCACACCAGCAGTGACCAGGGGATGCCTGCCACAAGGAATCCTGCAGTGCAACAAGTATTAAATTCCTCTTACACACATTTAGTAAGAGGCTTACACCACTTGAATGATGATGCAATTTGCACACCCAGTGAATGCCACCTGAGCACACTACACTTTCAACCACAAAATCTCTACACCTTTGTGTTAAAGCCAGTCAGAGGATCTATCTTTGCTGATTAAACATAACACCTTCACAATCAGCACCTCAATTCTTTCCCTGTCTTGTTGCCTTCCTAATTCTTGTCCTGTTAGCACCTAATATCCTTTAATTTGTGGAATTTACTCTTGGGTTACTGGTCTCAATACATATCATCCGGGCAGCAAAGCAGAAAGAGCTTTTTTGGCTACAATGTGAGTTTTGTTTCACTTTCCTCTCAAACAAATGTTTGTTTCCTTTCAAACATTTTCATTGTTTGAAATGAACACTCTGCTAGGAAATCCCAGCAGGGATTAATAACCATCAATCAGCTTCTAAAACAGTATAATAATCACCTGACCTGTCTCTYCYTCTTAGACACCAGAGAAGCTTAWGCTGAGATACCTACAAATCCCTCAGCAYYAACTCTCCTTAACTAACATTTTTCACTTCCTTCCAAAATCTTTTGGGTGGTCAGTACACTGATTTTCCTCTGCAGCTTACATGTCTTTACTTATTCATCCCTTGGGCTTCTGTAGTTAATGTTTTTATAAACATTGAGTTTCTAAAATTGGCCTCAGATATATTTGTAGTGAGTCATACAAGGGTTGTTACGTGTGACCCATAAAACCTTGTGACAGACACTAAGACATCACCATTGTGAGGTGTTCCCCAGATCTCGGATGTCACTTCTGCTCTCTCACCCACCTTTCCCTTAACCACTGTTTGAAGATGCAAAGCCCTTAGATATAAATATAACACTTGTTTTATGTTCATCCCTTCCCTCACTGACTGTTCTGAGCCAACTCCAGCAGTCAGGAAAAACTGGAGATTAGCAAATGAAAAGAGCATGTATGCAGGCCAAGCAAGTCCTCTTCCCTCCTCAATCTGGTGATTTTGTTGTATTTATCAGATAATTGATATATATTAAGTCAGAAGAGACTAATTTCTGTTGGCTGTGATCCAACTTTACCTTTTCTTTTTAGTGGAAAAAGGCCTCTGTCCTCAGAGCTCTGCACATCACAAAATAGACATGTCAGGTATCAATCCTCTTCAGGATTCTTGATTCTCCAAGGCTCCTGATACTTATTTTCCAAAAACACTAGATGAACACAGAAAATTTCTTTAACGAAGGTTAATCATGTTCACATAAACAAAGYAAACCCKTCTCTACTAGCTGGAACAAGCTTGMAGAATTTTCCCCCCTTCCAATTCTAGGTAAATTCCTTCCCTTCAGTATAAGCATATTCTCATGGAATTAGTAGCTTTGGTTGGGGATTCACTCCACGAAACTCCAAATACTAGTCATCAAAACACCTCTCTGAAATTAGRATTTAACAAATTCTAATTCATATAAAAAATCGATAAACTGCRCTTAGTTGTTTATGTTTCTTTTAATCTCTATGTTGTCATCTTGCCCCTAAAAAGCCAACTTTCCATGTTGGTCTCATTACTGTAAGATTCTTRTAGGACTGTGACATAATGAAGCCAYGTTTTGGRATAGTTTCCCAAGAGCAAAGCAGTCATGCATTTTAATCCAACTTCGGAGTCACAGGAGTATCCTGTGGACACAAACAATGCAGAATTCATAGCCACAAGGCCATCTGACAGAACTCTARGATAAGGAAGACACTGATAAAGCAAATTCAGCAATTCTGCTTAAATCAGTGCTGACTGGGTTCAAAGGTAATTAGGACAGGGCAGATCGTGACAACTGATGGATCCAAAAGACTGAGCATGCGGTTTAATCAATTTGGAGCTAATAAACACTAATTCATTTGCTAAAATGTATAAATATTAAGTTTTGGTAGCTGTATTTTGGCTTTGTGGATTYKCCACCYAGCACCCSTTTCTGCMCAGAACTGCAARTAAATCAAATACTTCCACTCTGCCTGCGTGTGGATTGGCCTCTTGCTCAACGGGTGAAAAGTGTGTTCCTGCCTTTTCTGCAGTGACTCACAAACCCCGGGGTGGGTTCATCAACGCCTCAGCAGCCACTCCGTTTTTGACAGAGATCATCAATCCTCACCCAGGACAGTTTCCAGCCCAGCCTATCAACCAACACACATGGAAAGCGGCGGGACTGCACACCGATACCGCAGATCGYGGCCTGGCCGTTTCCCTGGCAGAGCCCGCAGCTCCCACGGCCTCTCCCTGAACTGCKGCTCCCACCGACCCCGCTGCGCCCGCGCACGAGCCGCCAGCGCCTCACTCGGCGGTTCCTGCGCCCCTCGCGCCGAGCACGGCCCGGATCAACCTCTGCTTCAACGGCTGGCGGCGGGGCCGGTGCTCGGTGCCGTGAGCGGAGCGCGGAGCGGGCGGGCAGGGCAAGAGAAGGAGGCGGGTCCGTCCCTCAGAGCCCCGCGCCCGCCATGGCCGCCCCCGCCGCCCCGGCCCCGCTGCACCGCCGCGAGTTCTCGCCCGCTCCCCGCGCGCTGATTGGCCGCCAGCGCCGCTCTCGCGAGACCCGCGCGCCTGCGGCCCGGCGGAGGCGGCGGAGGCCCCGCGTTCGTGCGTCGGAGCGGCCCCGGGCGCGCGCGGTAAGATGGCGGCGGGGGGGCCGCGCCGGCCTCGGGGCACGGCGGGAGCGGGGCCTTCACCCTGCCCGGGACCCGGCGGCACGGCCGGCGCTAGCCCGCCGCGGCTGCTGCGGAGGCACCGGGCCTGTGGCGAGCGGGGCCCAGCGCTCCCGTGGCCCAGCCGCTCCTGCGGCCCAAGCAGGGCCGGGCCGGGCCGGGGCGGGGGAGCCGGGTCCGCAGCGGTTCGGAGCGGGCCGCAGCAGCAGCGCGGGGCGGCGGGAGCTCCTTTTTCCCAGCGCGGTTGGGAGCGGCGGAACGCGGAGCCGGGAGCGATCGGGGCCCGGGCGGGTTGTGCTCCGGCTGTCGGAGTTGCCGGGTGCGGGGCGGCTTCGGCCCCKGGTTAGAGAAGGGAGAACCTGTTGGAAGCGGCTCGCAGTGAGGAGGCGAGGAGGAGAAGCGCTGCCGCTCGTGTTGTCTGACAGGGGTGGCGGTGCCTGTTGCTGTTGTGGCCGYCTGTCCTTCCCTTTCGCTATCTCTGTGGTCGTGACTTGGAGGTAGAAATCGTTAAATGCAGCTTTGGTGAAGTGCTTTGCCTACCAATCCGTACAAAAATATTATCGTGAAAAATAATGCAGATAACGTTTTCGTAGCGTTGATAGGAGAACTTCTGGAGACAGCGAAGCTGAGCTGATGAAAAGCTTCGAGTTGTACACTGGGTCATTTATGGACAGTTTKGTAGCTGTGCAACATATGGAGCTGTCCGAAGTTTTGGTGGAAATTTAAAGCAAATACTGTTTACGTAGGYATTGCTATAAGTGTTTGTCACAGTCTCTCTGGCCGGCTGTCAAACTCTGATTCAYTGGTTTCACA